GCCGTGCTGTTTTGTTCAATTTAATATCCATATATTTTCATAATGGAGGTTTGGTTTGCAGACACTGACAACAGCCGATCACAATGACAAGCAGCAAATAAAGAATCATTACCTAGTCCATTTCTATTTAATGGGCTTTTATTGGCAGCCAGAGAATATCAACAACACCGATCGCTGTCTGATCCAGTGTGCGGCGGGTGATAAGGAATACGAATAAGTCAGTGTTATCATCTCTATACAGATGAGGAGATAATCTAATCTAAACAGAGATCCAATAAAATCACTAAAAAGTAAATAACACAATGATAAATCCCAGAACAGTAATACCACTGTTTTGAGCTTGACAACAACTCAGTTTGATTCAGTTGGTCATTCACCATTCGTCATTATCAGGCAGTTAAGCATGGGAGGATTTTGTTTTTCCACAACAGAGTACCAGTTGGGGAGTGAGTTTGGATTAGCCAGAAACGTAAGCACCTGGCTCAGTGATCACTGAGTCATCAGCATTGATCAATAATCCTATCAGTCACCCACAGGCATGTTATGGTCCGTTTGTGTATTGGGACGCTAAAATCATGAGTCAGTGCATCTTTTGATAACAGGACAAAGAAAGTCAGTTTATTTATAAGTTAATCATCAGCACATACCCTTTTTTGTGGCCAAACATGGTAGACATGAAGTCAGTTTTATGCTGCAGTATTTTGGACCTAGGAGGGCTGTTAAAGTGTAGTCGCGTTACAATTTTTCTCACACTGTGATTCCTATTTTATTGTAATTCTAGTGGCAGATGGCAGCATGACATGGGCTTTAAAAAAGGAGGCACAGGTGATGGATAATGAAATGAGGACTCATAGGCAGGCTCCTTTCTTTGTTTCTCTCAGTAAAATAACAGCCACAGAGGCTCTCCTGAGAGGGAACAGCAGGCTAATATAACATATTTAATGTTGGAAGATGATTTTATGAGGCTTTGCTGCTGCTGGTGAGGGTATAGCTACATTCACAACTTAAGCAAATGAGCTCGATTGTTTTGCTTATTCTGCAGCAATTCTATAACAGTCACAGATCCATAAAAACACACTAAACATGTACAGTGTCTCTCTAATGAGCCTCACTGTTGACTGGCAGGTCATGCTGCGTGCTAATGAACTCCTGGGAGAAACTCAACACAACAGTGAGTTGTTTTTTTTTTTTTTAACTTTTATTTTAACCATGGTGGAGAAAGTTTTCAGGCCAGAGAAGTGAAAAATAAAGCTGCAACCTGCAAACTCTGCAAAAGAGAAAGTGTTATTGAGAAACCTCTGCATCCAGATAAGCAGTATGGAGCCACTCACTATTATACCTTAACTTAAGGAGTTTTCAAAACTCAGAGGAGAGCATACAGACAATTTACCACAGAAATAAACACATGGATCAGCAGCTTAGATTGCATAGATGTGTAATATAGTACAGCTGTAATGGTATGTAGTGACACATTGGTTGGTTCCGATTCGAATCCAGGGTGGGGGAGCCCTTCTGTGCGGAGTTTACATGTTCTCCCCGTGTCAGCGTGGGTTTCTCCAGGTACTCTCGCTTCCTCCCAACAGTAATTGGTGACTCTAAATTGGCCGTAGGAGTGAATGTGAGTGTGAATGGGTGTCTGTCTCTATGTGTCAGCCCTGTGATAGTCTGGCAACAGGTCCAGGGTGTACCACGCCTCTCACCCATTGTCAGCTGGGATAGGCTCCAGCACCACTGCGACCCCTAACAGGATAAGCGGTTCCGGAAAATGAATGAACGTAACACTACTTGTATTCATAGCGAATCATAAAGGTCTGGTGCACACAGCCACATTCAGAAAACATGCTATGAAGATTGCTGCAAATAATGTGGAACCAAATTACACAAGCACAAGTTCCACCTGCAAACTTTTAGCCTTCAGTGTTAGCAACACCCGCTGAGGTTAGCACAACAAGCGGATTCATGTATGTCAGTCACACTATAGCGAGAGTGATTTAAACACTGTAGCTGGCAGACCCGCCTGCAGGTTCCCAGTCAGCTTAAACAACAAAGAGAGAGTTTTATATAAATGAGGAAGGTGTTACGGGATTGCTCCACCTTTTTGACTTGTGTATGTTGGTGGAAACACTCCCCACATGCAAACGCACATTTGATGGCATCACCCAGATGTTCTGGTCACCAGGATGATAAATGTTTGGGTGCCTGAAATGTTTAGATATAGCCTAGGTGGAATTAGTTGAAACATTATTATTCTATTTAGTAATACTCATTTCATAGCATAAGAGATGCTTTTTAGTTTTATAGCCTGTTGTGACCTGTTGCCTTACAGGAAAGTGTTTGTTCGTACTGTGTAATACAGAAGTGTTTGAAGTGTTCCTTATCTTTATAATGCAAATAACTAACAGAAGGTTTCAGTGGTCTTTGACACTTGCACCACAGTCTGTTCAAAATACGTAAAAATGAATGTATCCTTATGCATTTGGGGTTTTTTTCTGCTGTACTGAACTTGCAGAGATCCGTGAATTCATTGTACTGTCACAACCCAAATGCAGTGCTTCACAGCTTTAAAGCAGTTTGTTGAATACATGATACATAGTGTCAGGTCATTATCCAGACCTAACATAAAGCCCCTCTAACTTATTCCCTTTTGGGGTGCAGCCTGGCCTGCATATTTCTGTCCAAACCTGACACAAGAGAGTAAAATCTGAGCCAAACCCAACAGGCCTTTTGTTTTTTATGTCCGAACCCAACCCAAGCCCAACCCAGTTTATGCAAGATGAATATTTACTGCCTGAAATAGCCTTCGTTTTGTGTTCATGCATTGTCAGGTAAATAACAAACCCCAGCACGGAGCAAGAAGTAACCTACCACAGACAGTAGGTCCACCATTTGTATTAATTTTTAGACTGTATTTTCACTACAAAGAACATGAAGCAAAATGTCAAGTGGGCTGAACCTGAACATTTGTGAACATTTGTCTGAACTCAGCCCGGTCCCGTCACGTTTAGGTTGGGTGTCCACATGCTTTTACTTTCCCCCATATGTTTGACACAAGCACACATAGATAAATGAGCTGAAAGCAACACATAGATCGTACCAGTGCGTTCAGATTCTTTAATTTTTTAAGAATTTGTAAGATCACGTTTTTTAACATGTAGTGGCTTTAATTTTAGCTTCTTCCTCTTTGGCCAAAACCTGACATCTTCTTTTGTTCTCTTTATTCCTTCACTTTATTGTGCAGTTATTCTCTTTTAGAAGTCTTTAGAGAAAGTCTTTGAATGGGATGTGTCATCTCCTTTAAAGCAGCTGTTAACTTTAATTTTATTAGTTGACAAAGCTACTTTGAGTGTCTCAAAATTTCTTTTTCACCTTGACATGAATGGTTTCATCAGATCATTTTTTTATTTAAACCTTTTTATCATCGTGTCTATTTACAGAAGGCTTTAAGTGCTTGTTAAGGATGATTTTTAATGTGCTTACCTATGAGGCCTTTGTTGGAGGCAAGACCAAGGACATTCAATTAATGTGTATATACATTCAATTAACGTGTATATCTGTCTCTATACGCTGACATTCTTCACAATAACAAAGTTGAAAATGCATTTAGAACTTTTCCCCTTTGAAAACTTTATGAAAAATGCTCCAGTATCCATCTGTTGGGCAACAGATACATATCATCAACCCTCAGTTTTGTTTCTGGATCAATGTCTACGATAAAGAAGGAAAAACCAAGTCAAACCTTTTTTCCATTAACATTGTTTTTGACGAAGGCGTAGGAACCTTTTATGTGAAGCAGTGATGTGTGTGTGACAAATAGCAGCTCCTCGGGGCTCGCTTCCTCAAAGTACAAAAGTTGGTCGCATTCTCTTCAAACCAACTCGTATTTGCATCTTTTCCTCATCGATGTTCACATTTGATACACAAGTTGCAAATCTGCAAGAAATAAATCAAGCTGAAGAATTCATTGGACCAAATAACGACAGCTTATTATGCTGGTGCTACTGCGACAGATGCATTTTTCAGCAGCAATTCCATCTAAAATTGCTAGAAATCATAGCGTGAACTTCTACACGGCATACAGCATAGAACTTGTATTTGCTCTGCACCCAAAGAACGCGGCCTCGCAGCTCTCCGGCCCCGAATCAGATAAGTGTCACCGTGCATTGGGTTGAAAATCCATACTTATAGGAGTTATTTTAGTGACACTGGGCCCATTGTTTCCTCTGTAATAACTATGCAGCTCTGACAACGGGCCACTGTTTCAGCCAATATTTGCATGCAGATTCTCTGGTGTAGTGCTACACCATTTCTGCACAGTACAGTGTGGATATTGTTTCCAAGGCAGGAATGCACTGGATGTCCTCCGCTGTGGGAGCTGGCTAACTTAATGGATAGCTGTCAAAGTGGACGTTAGAGAAGCAGCTGTATATCCATCTCACTGGAACTAATACGCGGGAACATAGCTTTGACATGAGTGAACTGAAGAATGAGCCATGAGAGTGTAGGGAGATGACCGCAGGTGGTGAAGCCTTAAAGATTGCTGCAGATGCAGATTACAAAATTGTGTGAGCACACTATTGATTGCTTTACTGTAATAAATCAAGAAAGGTTTTGTGCAAACACTCTAATGCATTGCACTTTAGACAAATTAAGCTGTTAATCATGAGCACACCTGCTAAAACATTGGTTTGACTCATAAGTCTGCACCTAAGAAAACAGAGTGTGGTCTCAGTGCCCTCAGAAACATAGCACCGACTTTAAAAACAAAAGAGTACTAAGAAATTTAACACTTTGCAGTTGCTCATGTCTTAAATCTAACACTTCCACCTTTTCTGATACGGCAGGTAAGATTCATCCAACTTAAAATGTAAAATCTTTGCTCTGCTGGTGTCCGCTGCAGCAGGAACGGCACGGTCTCGTCAAAAGAGCCCATTGTGCTGCTGCAGTTTGTTGTGTGCCATGCAGGCCCAAGCCCATAGATGACCCTTGTTGTTTCTGCGCAGGCCTGGGTGAGGCAGATGCGAACCAGAACAATGGCTGCGTCTTGGAGAAGCCGGCGGTGACTGACTCCAAGGGCGCTGAGGGCCCCCGCCAACCCTGGATCCCCGCCAGCACAGCTGACCCTGACGCCGCCACACCACGCCCCCACCTGGCCCGCCTCTTCTCCCGAGATGCCCCGGGCCGAGAGGACAACACCTTCAAAGACCGACCCTCCGAATCGGATGAGCTGCAGACCATTCACGAGCACAGCGGAGCGGCTTCAGAGTGCGGGTCGGAGAGCCCCGAACAGGACCTAGAATAGGCTAGCTTTTTTTCCCTCCCTCCCTCTCTTTTCTCTTTTTCCCTCCTCTGTTTTTTTTTCACACTCTCTCATTTAAGAGAGAGACAAGAACCCGACATTTGACAAATACAAACGTACTACCAACCACTACTACACCAATGGCATCCGCAAGCAGCTCTGCACAGGCCGCCTTCGGGCTGGGCCGGAGGAAGAAGAACCCCGGCCTCCTGGATCAGATTGGAAAGTTCTTTGGAGGGGACAAGAAGAGGAAGAGCAAGGTGAGGAAGCAGGGAGAGTCGAGGTGAAAACTCGACTACTCTCTTGTCTCTGTTCATTCTGCTGATTCACACCCAGAACCACTTTTTAACTTCTTTAACAGATCCTTGTAAGAATTTGTTGCAACATATTTGTCATATAGATTTGTGTTGGTTTGACTGTTGTTTTTATGGTGAACCAAATTCTGACATTGTCCTGTGATTCACATTAACTGGCCGACTATGGTTATGAATCAACACTGGATAATGACTTTGGGTGGGGTTTGTTTAATTTTTTATTACAAAGAGCTGTGATTTTGAATCATTTACGGATACATTTCTATATTGTTCTGTTGTTCTTTCTTTTATTTGAATGGTACTGACATTGGTAGCATTTTTTTCTTTGATTAAATTTAATATATCTGTTGTAGATGTGATATGGTGGAATTGTTTGCTGCCGTTATGCAGTTTGTTTATTAGAACGTCAAACTGGAGTTAAGAACAGCCGTGTTACAGTTCGGGTACTTCCCTACATGATGATGATGTAAGAGATGGGAAAATTTGGCCCGTGTCATTCAGATGTAATAGTTGTACATTATTTTGGATTTTGTAGAGGCATCAGGTCCTCTGCAGAGAGTTCTTTGTGGAGAGTCTCTTTGATGTCTCTGGGGTCATTTTTAAACATCTGTGCCACGGGGAGGTACTTCACTACTGTTTGCACGGTCCAGCAGTCAGCTAAGTCACTTTCAAAGTTAATGATCACATTATGCTATAAATGATCAAAGAGATATACGATGTATATTAACATATAATGATATTAGAATAGGAGCATATTATCATCCCCTGTTAGGGAATATATACAAGAGTCTGCCTTCTGTAAAGTAACAGCAGGCTTATCTGATCCTGCAGGCAAGTGGTTATGAGGCATTTGAGCCTGCATTGTTTTTTAATTACTTTGCGCTCTGGTGTTGTCAAGATGCCATCATTTTGACCATTAGTGAACATAAAAACTTGACTGATCAGGGCTACTTTGTCAAAAACAGAAACCTTTTTTTTTATGTAGGTGGGCATCTTTGCTGTGGTAATGAGTTTGTACTCCTGGCACCGGTTTGTCCATCAGTTTAGACAGTCTGGGATCCTCGTCCAGACAGGATGGGCTGCTTGGCACTGCTACCACAGCCATTAGGAACCAAACTGCAGCTCTGATGGTTCCACTCCTTTATCCACTCAGTGGGCCGTGTGCTCAGTGATGCCCTCTGGAGGTGGTGATGAAATGGAACGTCAGCTTCAGCACCAAATGGGGTAAAAATGTTGAGATGATAACAGTGTGGAATTGTTGGTTATCCTGACAACACTATGCAGCATGCTGAAGCTACAACCCAAAGCCTCCTGTAGTGCTCTCAGAGAGAGGAAATGTGACTGCCGTCTTAAAAAACATGGACATTACAGATGATGGTTTGATAGGAGAGCCATGTCACAGTGAACAACAAAAATAACCTCTGATATTAAGGGGTTTTTTTATCCAGCTTTTCCACCCTGCAGAGTGCTAATCAGCAGGTTTGGCAAGCTAATTGTAAAGAAATCACTCAACCGCATGAATATATGCATTTTTCCTCTACGCCTTATGTCAACTATGAAAAGGTGTTCAGTGTAGGATTCAGGATTTAAAAAAAATAAAAAAAATTTATACATATACTGTGTGGTACAGATCTTTGCTTTAGCCTGTTCTGCTGATCAGATTTTGCATTTGCAAAATGTTACTCATGAGATGTTCAGGGAAAATGTCAACAGAACAAATTGTGAAGCTTTCATTCAACATTAGGCTTGTGACCAATTTGCTGCAAGGATTTCTTTGATTTTCTTTTTCTTTATGTCATAAAATTGTACATTGCTCTCCACACTGATGACATGTTTACTAAAAAGAAGTTGTACAAATATATATATATATATATTTATGTATTCACCAAGGGTTTGCCTTCAAATGATGAGCGTTCATGGCTTAAATGAACGACCGACAGGTTCGCCCCACCTCCGTTGCCTCTAGCAAAAGATCAACCTGCACTAACTCTGCTGCAAACACTCATTTTTCCAGCAAGAATTCATCATGAAGAGCTTAATTTCTGATCCGCCCTGCCCATCTGAGCGCACAGATTCCATACAGGCGCTCTTAATGCATACTTTGACTTTCAGACTGCAGTATTTTTGGAAAAGATTGTGTCAGTGTTTTCTGTTGGATCTTTAATGTGCATGCTGATTTGAGTAATGAATTGATTTAATATGTGGCAGGTGTGGAGGCTTAAACTGATCCCTGTGCTTTTCGTGTTCTTTGTCTGATTTATTCACATACTTTTCACTCCAAACCCGAGTCAGGGCTTTGAGAAAATGTTAAGACAGCACGAGAGAGATAAGTTGTGGAAAGCCGCCAAAAACTCCAGTCTCAGGACATGAAACAACTGCAGGAAATCTGCATTTGAATGGCTGTTGAAACCGATGTTTGATCATTTCAAATTACAGGGATAATGATGTGCTAATTGGAGGGAAAATTAACTTTGCATGAACATTAGCTATTCAAGCAGAAATGTAGACTCATAAAGAACAGAGAATATTTTTAATTTGCATAGTAATTTGTTGAAAGGCAGACAGAATCAGTCATATAATGCAACGCAGCAGTGATTACTGTATGAATCATGCTTCAGCAGAACAGTAAAAACCAAAACTCGTGCGATGCTGTTCTCTAACCCCAGTGTCTTGGATGAAGAGGGGGTGTCGGCGGTCTCTCCCTCCCCCCTTACATCAGCCTGCTCACCTCAGGTTTACGTGTCTTTGACCCAGTCAGAGAGTTTGTCTGAACCAGCAGTGGATCGGTGCCGATCCCTGTTTTGTTAACGCCTTCAGTTTTGCAGTGGATACTTGTAACTGTTTGTATCTGTTGTGAACTGTTGTGACCGGTGATCTGTTCCTAACCTGATCCTGTACTAAGCTTTTTGGATTATTGCTTGATTAAAAACTCTTTAATGACACCCTCAGCGCTCTCTTTGTTTTGTTTTAATGCTCCATGTCCCTTTTTTGGTTCTTCTTCTGTTGTAAAAGTTTCATGAATTGTTTTAACTGCTCTGTTAACAATGGGTAACAGCCAGCCATTTGTTATTACTCCAGTTGTGAAGTGCTATTTGCAATCCATCTTTCTTAGATTGGCCCCAAGCGACAAAGAAAACAGACCAAGCGTGGGAAACTTGAAAGCATTTATTCAGCAGGCTTGGTGCAGTCTCAGTCTTTCAGATTATAGACTTTAAGACAAATGAATAAATTCCAGAGTTCAGTCAATCAATCACATCAACATACTGCAAAACAAAAGGAGGTTTAATGGAAAGCAGAGCTACTGTTTATCCCTGATACTTCTGAGTAATGGATGACTGGCATGACTTGTTTGTGTGAGCCTAAAGATGAAATGGCAAGAAGAGAATGTTAAACACCTTACAGTCTTTCAATCAGTTCGTCTACTAAAAAGGCAGAGCTTTGTAATCGCCACGAGCTGATTGTTCCTGTTTCCCAGAGACGTGCGTGAACTGAAATTCATTCGTTTAGACTCAGGTTGGGGAGCAAAACTGCCGCATTTAAAGCTTGTTTTGAAGACTTTGCATTAACATGAACACCAGTGTGTTCATGCAGATTACCCCACCAAGAAAAGGAAACAGAGTTCGGCACAGAAATTCAGTCGATACAGGCTCATTTGAAATTCTAAATAAGATGTCAAAATGCGTATTTGTATTCACTGGCTCCGTGGTTAGATGGACCAAGAAACAAGTACAGCCTGGCACGCTGGCACAGGAAACTGTTGTACAATAAAAACAAACACTGGCGGGGGTTTTGGACGGACTTGCAGTTTAATTTAATTTAAAAACTAGCTGCAAATGATTGATATTGCAGAATTAACTGCAGCCCTGTTTTGTCAATCACACATAAAAGAGGCAGAGCAAACTCTGCTCATGTAGCCTGCCAAATACCGCTCAAGCATTTCATTCGTAGATATGGGTTAATTGCTATTTAGAAGGTACATTTAATTTTAATTAGACTTTAGGGGTGGTACAAAAATTATTCATTGTTTATTTATGTATTTATTTTTATAGCAAGGCCCTCTCTGGCATTATTATAAATTTGTTAGCCTTTCCCATGACTAAGAAAAATTTCAACAGCCTCCTTACAATATCTCAAAGTATATAATACATTCAATTGATTCAGATCATTTTAACATTAACAAAAGCACAGAGATTATATACAACAGAGTATATACAATACAGTGGAATTAGCAATTGTCAGACTACCAGATGACTACAAAAAAATAATAATAATAACCCTCCCCTTTTTCTAAATTCTCCTTTCCCATAATAATTTCTATAAGTCCCTAAGAAATCGTTTTTTTTTTCCCTTCCTTCATCACTTCTATCCTGCAGCACAGGTAATGGCTCCTTCTCGTTTGGTATTTGATCTTCTGAGGCACTATACCTGATTGCCTTCCGAGGGGAACAGCGAGCTGTAGCTGCCATGTTTGTGCATCTCCACTGCCAGACAAACTACTGTGTTTGTCAGCCACATCGATTGGCCCAGCACTCCCTCTGTTTATGAATCTGAAAGAGTGCAACTACAAAAAAACACAACAAAAAAACAAACCCAAGATTTAAATGCCGTCATTACTCATTCCTTCTGGTTGAGCAAAGATGCACAGTCTGACATGAGGGGGCAGATAGGCTTCTTGTGAGGGAAAGAATGAATGTGAGAGAGTGTGTTTAAATGAGCTGCAGACATCTCAACACCATTTTTCATAAATGTTAAATGCAAGTCCAGGATATATTCAGTGTGAAAAGAAAGGATGTAGTTGGATGTATTTTTATGGTATTGATCTGTGAAGATACTCACTGTTGTTGAAGGATCCCTAAGTCTTCCCCTCTTCTCAGGATGAATTATTAAGCATCATCTACACTGAGGCAGATTCCTGGCCAGGCTTTGAACTCTAACCTATGAGGGGG